CCTTTTACGGGCCTCACAGCAGGCCCTGAAACCTTCCTTCTCTGGCTCCAGCATAAGGAGGCAGCCCAGAGCACAGCACGGGTCTTCTGGAGGCTCCCTGGAGCTGTGGGGGTTGGGGAAGAGTGAGGAGGGGTGCAGGGAGCCCCTCCCCAAACTCCTCTCTCCACCTCTCCCAGGAGCTGGAACCCCAGCAGCTGCAGCCGCCAAAGCAGCCGCCAAAGCTGCTCAATATGGTATGTGCCCCACCCCGACTCTGTTCCCAGTGCGCATCCTATAGCACCGCTCTCCTGTCCTCTGTTCTGGGGTCTGGCAGCCCCGCAGCTCACATTCTCGCTGTGGGCCTTTGACCCATCTGGCCACTTTCAGGTGTGGGTCAAGTCTCTGATTAGGAAAACAAAGCGAGAACAGGCCCTGGTGAGACCCCAGAACCAACCTCCGCACCCTTCCCAAAGCCCCTACTGCCCCCAATCTAGCTGGGCCGCCCCCATTCTGGACCTCAAGCTGGTTCCTCTGGGTGCCCACCACCCTCCATGCAGTATTTCTTGCTCCCTGACAAGGTTCTCCATTTCTCCATAGATCTGAGGGCCACCCTGGCAGCCCCAAGCACCCACACCTTCCTGAACATAGCCAATGGCAGTAGCCCCACCTTAGAACTTAAATGTCTACCAGGCCTGGGCCAGGGCATCTACACGCCTTGGCTTCAGGGACCTGTGGGCAGCAAGATTCAGATCAGAAAATCTAGAGCTGTCTAGGCCAGAGAAATCTTAATTTTAGGTCCACTGACCCCCCCGAAACTCACATATGACAAATAACCCCTTTTTAGATAAAGCTGCCATTTGCTGAAGCAATCCTTACAGCAACTTCATGAAGTTGGTAGCATCATTCCCATTTTAGAGATGTGGAAACTGAGGTTCTCAGGGCTTAAGTAACTTGCTCACAGTTACACAGCTAAATGGTGGCTGAGCTGAGCTTCGAACCCGTGTCTGCCTGTCTTGTAGAGCACCCTTGACCACATAGCTCTGCTTCCACCACCCTCAGAAGTCTCAAACAGGTCCTTGTCCCTCCAAAGGTTAAGAACTCCTGACCCTACACATGCCTCATATTAGGGACAAGGAGGCTGAGACGCATAAAGAGAAGATGACTGGCCCAAGGTCCACAGCAATCTGTGCCCTAGCGGGGATGAAAGCCCAAGGCTCCTGATTCCCAGCTCGCTGCTCTTTCCACTGGCTTCTGTCCTCCTCGGTCGAGACTGGGTTAAGGATTAGTTCTTCTCGCTCTTGTAGGGTTAGGCCCTGGCGCTGGCGTTGGCGGGGTTCCCGGCCTTGGCGTTTTCCCCGGTGCTGGCGGGGTTCCTGGTCTTGGCATTGGCCCCGGCGGCGTTACAGGTAAGTTGTGTGAGAAAGTGGGCCTGAGGAGCCCCTGAATCCTCCGTGGCTGACACCCTGACACCCCCTCCCTCTCCATCCAGGAGCAGGGACCCCGGGTGCCGCCAAATCTGCTGCTCAGTTGGCCGCCAAAGCCCAGCTCCGTGAGTGCCCTGCCTGGCTTTCCCTCCTCACCCCGCCAAGCGCAGGCTGGCCCAGCATGACCCAGGCGGGAGCTGGCCCCACAGTATGCAGGCTCTCAGGCCCACTGCCGGCCGGGAGGTCCCCGAGGCAGCAGACAAGGGGTTGGAAAAGCAGATTTAGCAAAGGAGAGACCCAGGTTCCAATCCGGGGCCCCACACGAGCTGAGTGACCTCTGAGTTTCCTGTCCTCGGGCATGACATGTGCGTGCTGATGGCACCTGCTGCAGGAGGTTGTTGGGAGAATTAAATGAGTTCATCCAGAGGGAAGAGTGGAGGTTGGGCTGGAAAGGAAAGCGGTGTAGTGAGTGTGCAGCCCTGAATGCCAGCTGGGGGAGGGGCTGGACTTGGTGGTCAGCGGGAGCTCTCGGAAGGCCATTCTGGTGGCAGCACAGAGGGTGGGTTAAGGGGTCTGGCCCCTTCTCTTGGGGCCTGTCTCGGCTCCCGGGCAGGACACCCCACAGGGGCCTGCTTCCTGCCTGCTGTCACCATCCCACTGCCCATCTTTCCCAGGGGCTGCCGCTGGCCTTCCTGCTGGCGTTCCCGGATTTGGAGCTGGTGCTGGCGTTCCTGGATTCGGAGCTGGTGCTGGTGTTCCCGGATTTGGGGCTGGTGCTGGTGTTCCTGGCTTTGGGGCAGGTGCGGGTGCAGGTGAGAGGCCTTCTAACCTGGGCAGGAATGACCCCTGAGCTCAGAGAGGGGAGACTGCATGCTCCCTCCCAGCACATCCCCCAGCACCTCATCGAAGGGTTCATAGTGAATTCCCCATTAGGTTCTCCTGAGCAGTCAGATGACTAGGGTAACAGATGGGGGGCAGGCCAGGCGAGGAAGCCCCAGGCTGCGTGAGTGGGCCCACCTGGCTCGCCCTCAGCAGTGTGCTGTGGCCACTAGGAGCTCCAGTTTCTCACCTGGTGGTTACTGAGCCTGAAGGGGCTGGGAGGGGCAGATGGAAGGAGGAGGCACTGTCCAGCCCTCACGTGCTCCCAGACCAGACTGGCAGAGACATGGTTAGTGACCGGAGATCTACCCGGGCAGGGTGAGCTCCTGGCTGGGGAGCCACAGCTTCAGGGCTTTGAGAGGAGCAAAGAAGGCCAAGGAAGGCAGGGAGGGCTCCCAGGAGGAAGCAGTACCCCCAGCACAGAGCTCAGCTGCTGACCACCCCACATTTCCTTTTTCCTTTTTCTGCAGTACCTGGATCCTTGGCTGCTGCTAAAGCAGCCAAATATGGTGAGTGCCCCCATACTGACCACCACGGTTGGTTCCACTGCTGCCCCACCGTCCCTGATGCACTGGTCACCCTTCTCCCCTCCCTCTGGGCCAGGGCCCCATGCCCGGCGCCTGCAGCACAGGGTGGAAAAAGGCAGTTTCTAGGACACATTCATGACAGCTTAGCAGACCTGGCTCCTGCCCACGAAATGCCTATCGAGCCTCCAGCCCTGGGACAACCAAAGAGGCCCCTCACATTTCCGGCCTCCCTGGGAGCAAGTCCACCTTGGTGAAAACCGTGGTCCCCAGGGGCCCCTCTGGCCCTCAGTTTTGTGGGCCCAGGGCAGGGTTGCTGTCAGCGAGGCAGCTTCTGCCTCCTGGCCAGCAGAGCCCCGGCCCCCCGCCCACCTCCCAGTCAGCACGACTGCGCCTGCCACGAGCCACGAAGACGTGGCAGACAAGCCTGCCCCTCCACTTGGCGCTCAGCAGCCCTGGCTGGCCAGACCCACACTGTCTGTGGCCCCTGAATTCTTGGCCTTCTGAGAGCCAGGCCAGGGCCTCTGCCAGGGAAACACCAATCAGCCCGGCCAGTCCACTTGGGGCCAGTTTCCACCTCGGAAAATCCCAGTCTCCTCAGTCCCACCCCTGGCGGGCCGGTGACCCACAAGCCTTCTCCTGTTCCTTGCTGGCTGCTCTGCCAGCCGGAGTCTAGCGCATTTTGCCAGGGAAACAAAGCAGCTAAGGGGACAGGCTCCAAAGCCACTTCCTGCCTGTGGCACCTTGAGCATATTGCTTAACCTCTGCTGCGGCTCAATTTTCTCATCTGCAAAGTGGGGATGACAATAGTCCCCACCTTTCCTGTTGCAATGAATAATAAGCAGGCTAATCCGTGAGAAGCACCGAGAACTGTGGAACTCCTGCTGCTGCTATTCGTAGCAGCTCTGCTCTGGACAACAGTTCAAAACTCAGGGTACATTCCCTGATGGCGTGCTCTTTTACTCTCCAACACCTGTAGGGTGAGTGGGGTAAAGGATCATCATCTCCTTTAGGGAGAGGTGGCAGCTCAGAGGAGGCGACAGCTCTAATGAGTGGAGAAAGCAGGATTGGAACCCAGGACTGTCAGTACCTGAGACTAGTCTTCCCTCCTCCGCAGCTTATGGCCACCTGTGGCTCCAGTGCTAGCCCAGGGGGAAGGAGAAAAGATGGGCAGGCCAAGGCTCAAGGAAGCTCGCTCTATTCTTTTCTTGGTGTTTTTTTTTTAATAGAATTTTATTGATTTCAGAGAAGAAGGGAGAGGGAGAGAGAGAGAAAAGTATCAATGATGAGAGAGAATCATCAATTAGCTGCCTCCTGCATGGCCCCTATTGGGGAACGAGCCCACAACCTGGGCATGTGCCCCGACCAGGAATCGAACCGTGACCTCCCAGTTCATAGGTCATCATTGAACCACTGAGCTACACTGGCAGGGCAAGGAAGCTCGCTCTTGACTGATTGGTCAGGGACATGGGCCCAGGTGCCTGGGAATGGACTTCTGTCCAGTGCTCCTTCCACTGGGTCACCTGGCCTCGACCAACCGTCTGCTTGGGTAACGCCCCTGGGTCAGGGATACCCTGTCCTTCAGAAATGGGGGACTGACTCTCTGCCCCTCTCCTCAGGAGCAGGAGGGCCTGGGGGCCTTGGCGGGGTTGGAGGTCTTGGTGGTCTTGGTGGAGCAGGTGTCCCAGGTGGTGTGGCAGGTGAGTTGAAACCCCAGGAAGGGCTGGGCAGGGAGGGAGACGGACCTGTGGAGAATTGCTCCCTGAGCTCCCTCTGTGTCCTCAGGAGCCGGACCTGCTGCCTTGGCTGCTGCCGCCAAGGCTGCTGCCAAAGCTGGCCAATATGGTGAGCACTGTGTAGAGGTGGGGGCTGCCAACAGTCCCCAGGGTTTGGGGGGCCTCAGACCATGCACTGGGGAGCACTATTCCCTGCCCTGCCCCGAGGCCCTCAGGGGCATTGTCTCCCCAGGGCCCAGCCACCTCCTGGCCCCACAGCACCCACAAAGGCTCTGCAAGCTCAGGCTCCACCTGGGGACTGGGAGGAAAACTTCAGCTCTTCACAGACGAGCAGCAGGGGTCTCGCCGATGGGGTTTTAACACCCAGCTCTCTCCGCAGGCCTCGGGGCTGGAGGGCTCGGAGCTGGTGGGCTCGGAGCTGGCGGGCTCGGAGCTGGAGGACTGGGACTTGGAGGTGTCCCAGGGGCTGGGGGCTTTGGAGGTAAGAGGCTGCTCTAGAATCCATTAGTTTATTGTGAGTGAATGAGTGTGTGTGTGTGTGTGAGAGAGAGAGAGAGAGAGAGAGAGAGAGAGAGAGCCCTTCCCATTTGCCATATCTTGCTCACTCAGGGCTGTGGTGGGCCTGCCCCCTTCTCTGGCTCCTCCGGCGTTTAGAGGGGCCTGAGCGAGCAGGGGCGAAGGCTGCTTTGTGCAGCTGGGATCCGACCCTCCCTCTCCCTCTCCTCTCCTTCAACCCACATGACCACATCAAGCGGGAGTTCGTTAGGATAATGATGGTCAAGCCCACTTACTGGGGAAGAAAACCAAAGCTTGGACGGAATTACTTTTCCAAAGTCTCTGCCATCCTGGGCCTTGTGTCACTCTTTCTTGGGTCGCCATTGTATCTCCCTACCTAAACCCGCCTGAAGTCTCTTCCTGTGTGCGCCACAAGACTGGACACACAGTAGGCGCTTAATAAAGACTTTTGGAAAGTTGGATAAAGGAGGGGTGGAGGGATGGCGGAAGGATGAGTCGGTGGGCAGATGGTAAACAGTGAACAGGTCAGAAGGGGGACATGACTGGGAGGGAAGGGATATTTCTGGGCTCTCATGCACCCCATCTCCCCAGGTGTGTCCCCAGCTGCAGCTGCTAAAGCAGCCAAATATGGTGAGTAGCTCCCCGCTGCCCTCCTCCTGCCCAGGCCTGTAGGCTGCTAATACGCCCCATCCTGACCATCCCGTCTCACCCACTCAGGCCTCAATCCTGCTCGGTCCTAACAGCCTGTCCGGGATCTCCCTGACCCCAGAACCCGGAGGGGAGGCTCATGCTCCTTAGACTGTACCTTGTCGCAAACCCCATCTGCCCTCTTCTCAGGTGCCGCTGGCCTTGGAGGCGTCCTAGGAGCTGCCAGGCCATTCCCAGGTGGAGGTAGGGCCATCTCTGCTGTGCAACCCTGGGGCTGCAGCTAGCACAAGGCCACAAGGGGGAGGGGAGAGGGGAGAGGGGAGAGGGGAGAGGCGACATGGCCTCCAAGCGGGGGCTTAAGGGTCAGGAATTTTGATTGATACATTATTGTGCTTTAGGAAATGGGGTGATATAATAAAACGAATGCATATTATATAATATATAATAGAGGAAAGCAAGTAGTCTGATAGACTTGAAATGAACAAAACATCAATTAAGAGATCCAAGAATAATGTGAATAAAAATAATAAAAATGAGTATGAGTAAAACGAATCAAGAATGGTGTTCTGTGGTTTTTTCTTATGTATATCGACTCCCTAGGTATAAAGGCAGATAGTAATGTTTCATCTGTG